AAAACGAGTTTGGAAGTTCTCCTTCCATTTCTATTTTTTGGAACAGTTTCAGAAGAATAGGTATTAATTCTTCTTTCAATGTTTGGTAGAATTCCCCTGGGAAGCCATCTGGCCCTGGGCTTTTGTTTGTTGGGAGATTTTTTATTACTGTTTCAATTTCCTTGGTGGTTATAGGTCTGTTCAGGTTTTCTCTTTCTTCCTGGTTCAGTTTTGGTAATTGATACATCTCTAGGAGTGCATCCATTTCTTCCATATTATCTAATTTGCTGGCATATAGTTGCTCATAATATGTTCTTATAATTGTTTGTATTTCTTTGGTGTTGGTTGTGATCTCTCCTCTTTCATTCATGATTTTGTTGATTTGGGTCATTTCTCTTTCCTTTTGATAAGTCTGGCCAGAGGTTTATCAATCTTGTTAATTCTTTCAAAGAACCATCTCCTAGTTTCGTTGATGTGTTCTACTGTTCTTTTGGTTTCTATTTCATTGATTTCTGCTCTGATCTTTATTATTCCTCTTCTCCTGCTGGGTTTAGGCTTTATTTGCTGTTCTTTCTCCAGCTCCTTTAGGTGTAGGGTTAGGTTGTGTATTTGAGACCTTTCTTGTTTCTTGAGAAAGGCTTATATTGTTATATACTTTCCTCTTAGGACTGCCTTTGCTGTATCCCAAAGATTTTGAACAGTTGTGTTTTCATTTTCATTGTTTCCATGAATTTTTAAAATTCTTCTTTAATTTCCTGGTTGACCCATTCATTCTTTAGTAGGATGCTCTTTAGCTTCCATGTATTTGAGTTCTTTCCGACTTTCCTCTTGTGATTGAGTTCTAGTTTCAAAGCATTGTGGTCTGAAAATATGCAGGGAATGATCCCAATCTTTTGGTACCGGTTGAGACCTGATTTGTGACCTAGGATGTGATCTATTCTGGAGAATGTTCCATGGGCACTAGAGAAGAATGTGTATTCTGTTGCTTTGGGATGGAATGTTCTGAATATATCTGTGAAGTCCATTTGGTCCAGTGTGTCATTTTTTATTTCCTTGTTGATCTTTTGCTTAGATGATCTTTCCATTTCGGTGAGGGGGGTGTTAAAGTCCCCAACTATTATTGTATTGTTGTCGATGTGTTTCTTTTGCTTTTGTTATTAATTGGCTTATATAATTGGCTGCTCCCGTGTTAGGGGCATAGATATTTACAATAGTTAGATCTTCTCGTTGGATAGACCCTTTAAGTATGATATAGTGTCCTTCCTCATCTCTTATTACAGTCTTTGGTTTAAAATCTAATTTGTCTGATATAAGGATTGCCACCCCAGCTTTCTTTTGGTGTCTATTAGCATGGTAAATGGTTTTCCACCACTTCATTTTCAATCTGGGGGTGTCTTTGGGTCTAAAATGAGTCTCTTGCAGACAGCATATCGATGGGTCTTGTTTTTTTATCCAATCTGATAACCTGTGTCTTTTGATTGGGGCATTTAGCCCATTTACATTCAGGGTAACTATTGAAAGATGTGAATTTAGTGCCATTGTATTGCCTGTAAGGTGACTATTAATATCATCTGTGTTCCTTTCTGGTCTATGTTACTTTTAGGCTCTCTCTTTGCTTAGAGGACCTCTTTCAATATTTCTTGTAGGGTCGGTTTCGTGTTTGCAGATTCCTTTAGTTTTTGTTTGTCCTGGAAGCTTTTTATCTCTCCTATTTTCAAAGGCAATTTTATTTTGTTCTGTTTTATTCAGGTTTTGTTTTTTTTTCCAAAAATTGAAAAATATGCAACAACCACATATTTTAGAATTAGCCTTTGACAGGGGAATGAGATTTAACCATGATGTTATCTTGTCAGAGTTTTGTAGAGGAGCACCAATAGGAGTTAATTCAACAAGTGTTTTTCAAACATAAGCCAAGGCTGTCCAAATCAAAATATTGGCGCCAATGTGTTTTGTGATGTAGATCATCAAAGTCTCTTTTAGTTTCACATTTTAAGAAAGATGTCAACAGCGGCGCGCCTGAGTGGCTCAGGCGGTTGAGCTTCCGACTCTTGGTTTTGGCTCCGGTCCTGGGATCAGGCTCCATGCTTAGTCTGGAGACTGTTTGGGATTCTCTGCATCTCCCTCTGTCCCTCCCCCCTCTCGCATGCTCTCTCTCTCTCTCTTTAAAGTAAATGAATAAAATCTTTTAAAAAAAAATGTTGACGGCATAGGAGTTCTTTTGTGAGAGGAGATGAGTATGACAGTAGATGAAAGAGGAGAGTTTGCTATAATCAGTTGTTTGAGGGGCTGGCAAGCTAAAGAGGAAGGAGCTTACCTTTCATTTATTCATTCATTTGCTTAACAAATATCTAAGTGCTTATCATGTGTTTGATGCTAGGGATATATAGATGAAAGCTATTCCACTTTTGGGAAGACAGTCTAGTAAACAGAAAAATAACAGTACCATGGGATCGGTATTATAAAGGTCTAGTGCAAGGGTCTGATTTTGTACCAACCATGAACTAAGAATAGTTTTTGCATTTTTAAATGATTGTAAAAACAAACAAAAAGAAGTACCTGTGATAAAGACCATATGTGGCCAACAAAGTGTAAAATATTTATTAGTTGGCCTTTTCAAAATGTTTGCTGATTCCTAGTCTATAGGTTAAAATGAGAATACATAGCTTATAGGGAGGCTGTTTTCAATTTGATATAAGAAAGAACTTTCTAGGGGTGCCTGGGTGGCTTAGTCGTTAAGCATCTCCCTTCGGCTCAGGTTATAATCCCAGGGTCCTGGTATTGAGCCCCCCATCGGGCTCCCTGCTCTGCGGGAAGCCTGCTTCTCCCTCTCCCACTCCCCTTGATTGTGTTCCCTCTCTCGCTGTGTCTCTCTGTGACATAAATAAATAAAATCTTAAAAAAAAGAAAAGAAAGAACTTTCTAATAGAGCCATTTAATAGTAGAAAGACCATATAACAACAGAAAAACTGTGCTTTATATCACTGCAAAATGTCAAGCAAAATTCTCTTAATAGAATATCAACATTGGGTCGGAGATTGTGCAGTGTGGCTTCTAAAATGTTTTCTATGTAAGGTTTTAGAACTCCAGCTTCTCATTTACTATGGATAAAGTAGAACATTTTTAAGTATTAGAGCAGATCCCTGGATCTGATAGCTAAAGGAAATTTCATCATTGCTGTTTTGTTATGCATGAATACAGTTATTGAGGGATGTATTGGTCTCACCAGTGGCAAATGTCATGATGATGACTGGTACGGGAACAGTTAATTATCTCAAAAAAGAGTGATCCAAGCCATCAGCAGTTTTCTAAATGTGAGGAAATGTGGGATCTTTGTTAACAACCTTCATGATTCTTAGAGGGATGAAAGACTTTTCTGTTATGAAGGTTTAAGACTGAGTCTGTAAGCCAAGGTCAAAGAGGAATCATACCAACTAGTCCTTGGTAGTCAAGGTTATCATTCTCATTCTGCTTCATTTTTAATAAATTCATTCAGTAAATAAATAATTCTGTTTTGAGTGACTAAGTGTAGCAAGTACTTTGGTAGGCATTGCAGATACAGCTGTGAATAAAGTGGATGTGGAGTTGACAATCTAGGTGGTAAGCAGCCACACCAAAAATTAAAACAAGAGTATGACAGTTATGATAGGGAAGGTGTACCATGCAGAATTATAGGTGTTCCGAAATCAAGAAAGTATACTGTAGCAATGGTATTACATTCATAATGAAAGAACGTTTAGTTCTAGCAAAACATCACCTATTCAGTTAAATTAATCTTAGTTCTATTAAAATTTTGTTTTTGTTTTTATAGTTATGTAAATGGTGTAAGTAATAAGGAGTTTATACCTAGTTTGTACATATTTAGGCACATATAATAAGAATTATTTAAGCTGACATTCAGGAATCCACAAGACTTATTTTTCCTTTAAATCAGCAGTTCTCAAACTTTTTGGTCTCAGGACTCCTTTACATACTTTAAAATTACCAAGGACTTCAAAGAGCTTTTGTTTATGTGGGTTGTTGATACTTCCCATGTTAGAAATTAAAACTTAGAAATTTCTAAAATATTTATTAACTCATTAAAAAATAATAGCTCCATTGCATGTTAACACGAATTACATATTTATTTATTTTATTTATTTTAAGATTTTATTTATTTGCGAGAGAGAGAATGAGAGACAGAGAGCATGAGAGGGAGGAGGGTCAGAGGGAGAAGCAGACTCCCTGCTGAGCAGGGAGCCTGACGTGGGACTCGATCCCGGGACTCTGGGATCATGACCTGAGCCGAAGGCAGTCGCTTAACCAACTGAGCCACCCAGGCGCCCCTACATATTTTTTAAGAAAAGTATTTTCCAAAACAAAAATATTTAGAGGAGTAGCATTGTTTTATTTAAGAAAAAAAATCTCTGTAATGTTTAACCTAAGAGAAGAGAGGTAGATTCTGATATCTGCTTTTGCATTCAGTATGTTGCTAATATCATAGATGATGTAGCTTCTGGAAAATTCTACCATACCCTTGTGAGAGAATGAGAGTGAATAAGGCAAATGACATCTTAATATTATTTTGAATATAATTTTGACTCTAGGCACCTCCTAAGAATGTCTTAGGGATGCCCAGGAACCTATGGACTACACTTTGATTTAAGACGGAAGGAAACACTCACAATGGTTAAGAGCACTTGCTAAGAGAGTGTTTAGGTTCAGTTCTCATTCGAACACTTAAAGCTATTTGAATGTGGGCAAATTAATATTTCTTAAATTTTATAATCCTGTTTCCTCAGCTGTAAGATGGGTATAGTAATACCTGTCCTTCAGGGTTATCATTGAAATTTTGTACGTTAAGTGCCTGAAACTTTTCAGGTGATGAATAAATGGGAGTTGCTGCTGCTACTGTTATGTTATCATTCTGATGCTTGTAGAATCTTCCAGATGGCTGTGTATTTAGGTTCTTTAAAGTAGTACGTGAGGAAGCTAAGCAGTTAACTTTCAGCATTCCCAACATTTTTATACTTGAAACTTTGCAGTCATTCAAGACAACTTTGCTTCTCCTGATTTGCCTTTGCTGACATGTTTGACACAGGATCAAGAGTTTGGGTCTGATTCCTTATTTCAACAGAGTGAACTAGATTTTGCACCTCTGAGGTAGGGTGATTTATTTTTTTATTTGCATGTAAACTTTCTACTCTTTCTTTTCTTGTTCTAAGTTGTTGCTAATATTAATGACTTCAGGCTAAGGTGAGACTTTGGAGTGGGGGTTAGATATTTTCAGCACACACTTGGAAGGTAACAAGGCCCTAAGTTAAGACATGATGCGTATTAATATGGTATAGTAATACGTGTGTAAAAATGAGCCAGGCAACTGTAGTTTATTTAATTTTTAATGTATTTTAGCATTTTATGCATAGTTTATTTTATTTTTAAATTTTTATTATTGAAGTATAGTTGACATATAACATTATGTTAGTTTCAGGTGAACAACGTAGTGTTTTGACAGTTCTATTCATTCTGCAGTGCTTAACCATGACATGTGTTGTACACCTGAAACTAATGTAATAATGTGTGTCAACTATTCTCAAATAAAAGTGTTTAAAAAAAACACCTGAAGATGTTTACAGAGTAAAAACCTTTGCCCTTCTGCTATGTATTACCTTAAAATTAATTATGAAAAAGTGTTCTGTATATAATAGTCAACCAATAATTAGGTTACTGCTGTGTTTTAGGAGTAGATCACCTCTTAAGGGGTTTTCAAGAGCCCAGTAAATGGCTAGTGAAAGAATTAGTGAAAGTTAAGTGAGTATTAAATTACGGTAAGCTTTGCGCAGTGGCAGTATTGTAGCCAATGAGGTTTATCTGAGGCGCGATTATTGCTAATTAAATTATGGTAGGTGATAAACATTTTAAATAGTAAAGTTTGAATTTTTAATTTAATCTTTTTTGGTAGTATGAATATATTCCTATTTTTTGATAATATTGTTTTAGGAGAAGGCTGAGACAATACCAGGGTCATAGGATGGGAGTTCATATTCTGTTTACAAAAAATTTGCCTTGTTCAGTCACTAACTACTTTAAGGGAATTTGAAATTAGAACTTTGTTTTTTCAACACGCTTTCCAAATAATCTTAATTTCAGTGACATAACAGTTTTGTATTTTTCATGTTAGTATTTAAAAAAATGTTTTTAATGTGTTATTTATTTGTTTTTAACTGTATATTTTCAGGGGAATTCCTGGTAAGTCTGAAGATACTGAATGGTTTTCTCGACCGTCGGAAGTTAGTGAAGCTTTATTCCAGGCAGCCTCAGAAGTAGCTTCAGACTTAGTTAACAGTTGCATTAGTGTATCTCCGCACTTGCTTATAGCTAGTACAGCTGAGTGTCAGCGCTCTTTTTTACCTTTTGAACAAGGGACTAAAGAAGATACTATTTCGTCTGATACAGTTGATGAACTGAAAACCCCCAAAGACTTCGATAGTTATGATGCTCTTTGTTCCTATATGGCATGGAAGACACAAGAAGTTCAGGAGCCAGAAACCAGTTTAGCTGATAAAGGTCAAGTTTCTGTTTCAACCTCATCTTACACAAGTGATGACTACGTGACTCCTGAAGGAAGTGACAGTTTTGACGCTTCTTGTTCTCATGTGCAGTATTGGAAACAGAAAGCTTTACAGCAGTCAGAAAATTATTTAACCAATGGGTATCATGATTCTTATTCAGATTCATCTGACATAATTGAAAAAAATAAAATTCCTAAGGGAAGTGACAATTTTCGTGCCCCTTTTTCACGTACGCCGTGGAGCAAACAGGAAGCTTCACACCATCCAGAAACATATGTGATCAGTAAGGACTGTGTTTGTTTTCCACATGAAGTTGCTCCTCATTTTAATAACAAAATGTCACATTCTTTGTTGCATTGTCTGTTGGAAAGAAGAGGAAAGGGCATTCCCTTGACAGCTCACAGTCATTATTTTGAGAGTGTTTATTTAAGGGCTCCAGCCGAGAATGGGGTGAAAGGAATGATGGATTCTTTGGAGGGGTATGAAAGAAATGAAGAAGGTCTGGGGAAAGAATTATCTCAAGGTTTTGAACTAAAGGAGAATAGAAGTACTTTAGTATTTTCAGAGATGCATCCCAGATCTTCAGATACACAGTTTATTGAGAATGTTGTAGTTCCTGATAATTCTGTAAAAGTTTCAGAAATACATATACACTCTAGGCAGTATGGTACCTCTAAGATGGAGGTTTCTGGTGGTCCTCTTCAGACTATTAAGTCTAACTTGAGTGAGACATCAGAACAACTGTATTTACAAGAGGAAAGAAACCAAAGGGCAACTTCTGCTTTTGGTGGAAAAAGTGTTGATGCCTCTGAAAATGTAGCCTTTGAGGTAGTTATTGCCTCTATTGAGCCTTCCAAGAAAGAGAGCACAGGAAATGAAATCCAAACTGACAGCAGTAAGTCTTTAACAAATGACAGCCAAGAAAGTGAACCCAAAAATTCACATCTTTCCCTATTAAATTATAATGATGAAAACTCTTTCTTTGATGAGTTTAGTCATCCACGTTATCAGTCTACTCCTGGGGTGTTTGAATTAGTGGCTTCAAAACCATTGTTGCATAAAAAAGGTAACGATGAAAGCTCCCTGGATTGGCATCTTGATTTAAAATCACTCCCCAGTACTCCTCAGGAAATGGTCATTAAGCCACTTCCTCTTATTCCAGAGCATAAGTCACCTGCTGCTTTAAGTGAAAAATCTCACAGCCAGGCTGTTCGTCTTGGCAAAGCACAGTCAGCTTTATTTCAGTGCGATCTAGACAGTGAACCATTTCTTCCCATTGGGAAGGTAAAGTCTGTTCCTGATCTTGACCTTGCAGAAAAGGTAGGATCTTCAAACATTTTTTATCCAATGAAAGTATCGACTTCAGATTCTATGGTTTTACAAGATTTAAGAAGATTTGAAGAAGTTGCAGATTCCTCAAACTATATTTTGGTTAAGAATGTAAACTCTAGTAACATCATTGAAGGTCCATCTGCAACTGTAGGAAGCAGCTTTTCAGCAAACTTGGTGACATGTGATGCTAAGTCACAAGGTGCTTTACCAATGACCAGTAATGCATCATTAATTGCAGTCAGCCAAGAGTCAATGCTGAAAGCTGATGTAGGCCAAGGTAAAATTCCTCGGCCTATGGGAGCCAAATCCTGTTTTACTATAAATACAATTATGCAAAATGACTCCTATTTTGTAGAGGGCCTGCAGGGGAAGGCTGAATCTGACACCTCTACTCTGGATGATGATACTGAATGCTGTAACCTAGATGAAAATGCTATTGGGTGCAGTACAAGAGTTGCTGATCTACAAAGAGAGGTGAGACACAATAAAATGATAGTTGGGGGAAACATGGTGTTTTCCAGTATTATTTCAGGAAATGGTATTGTTACTTGTTTTAATTTTACTTTCTTTTTTTTTTAATTTTATGAACAGGTACATGAGCAAGGTGACTTGACTGCTGAGTGCATTGCGCTAGCAGGTTTTAAAAATGTGCTTGATGATCTAGAGGTTTGTGACAGCTCCCTGCCCTGGCAGTCTGCCTTAGAACTGCCATCTAAGGAAGAGAGCGATTTTGAGGAGCCTGTAAGTTATTCTGTTTGACATTTCTTGTGGGGTAGGGAAAGAATATTTTAGTTGAAAAATGGGGGTGAAAGTAAAGGGCCCTTTTATATCCTCTAATACCGACATGTGACTTACAATCTTGTCTTCATCTGATATCCAAGAATATGCTCCATTAATTTGTTAGAGGTTGGCATAAAATAAATGTTTGTGTTTCATAGACCATAAGAGTTAGTGAGTTTTGTGGTGTCTTGGAAAAGTTTTGTGTCAACCTTTCTTTTATACAAGACTTCATTTGCCTGGATCCTTGCCTCTGTTGGTTTTTAATGTTCCTTTGGTCCCATTGCCCATTCTTCTGTCTGATACTGTCAGCTTCTTTATAATATATCCTTATATCTTATTAGTCATTAAATATAGCTATACAAAGATGTTGTGTACTTAATGTTACTCTCCTTTTCCTGTTTTTCCACATATAAGATTAGTATGTCATTGGAAAGCTGCTAGTTTGGGTTGCAATCATTTTTAGACCTTTTGATTAGAGAAAATGAACAAAGATATTGAGATAAACTTTTCATTTATAATTATTGAATATATTAAAAATTAAAATACAGAGAACTGTGAGGTTAATTTTATTTTCTTCAACATTCTAAAGTAGACATTGTTTGGGCACCTGGGTGGCTTAGTCAGTTAAGCATCTGCCTTTAGCTCAGGTCATGATCCCAGGGTCCTGGGATCAAGCCCCACATCGGGCTTCCTGCTTATCTGGGAGCCTGCTTCTCCCTTTCTCGCTCCCCCTGCTGTGCTTTCTCACTCCTTCTCTGTCAAATAAATAAAATAATAAAGTAGACATTATTTAATTCTAATTTTCAGTCTCTTAATGGGGATGAAAATGATAGCTTACACTGCTCAAATACTACGCTAAGAGATTTATTTATATACATCAATTCATTTAGTCCTTTGGTCAGTCCTACCAAGTAAGATTACTGGGGGTTATTATCATCCTCATTTTATAATTGATATTTAGAGGGTTAAGGAACTTGCTCATTATTATTGAACAAGTAGGGGAGCTAGTATTTGAAACTAACCTTATCTTTTTTTTTTCAAGATTTTTTTTTTTTTAAGATTTTATTTATTTATTTGACAGAGACACAGTGAGAGAGGGAACACAAGCAGGGGGAGTGGGAGAGGGAGAAGCAGGCTTCCCGCCGAGCAGGGAGCCCGATGTGGGGCTCCATCCCAGGACCCTGGGATCATGACCTGAGCCAAAGGCAGATGCTTAACGACTGAGCCACCCAGGTGCCCCTTTCCAAGATTTTTAAAATTTATTTGTGAGAGATGGCGAGAGAGAGCACGAGCAGTGGGGAGAGGGAGAAACAAGGTCCCTACTGAGCTGGGAACCCTACATGGGGCTTGATCCTAGGACCCTGGGATCATGACCTAAGCCAAAGGCAGACGCTTAACTGACTGAGCCACCCAGGTGCCCTGAAACTAACCTTATCTGTGTATTTAACCACTATACCATACACTGCCTTCCCATTTAACTATTCTTCAGTGAAACCAAAACCAAGATTTTGCATTATTTTGATAAGAGTGAAGGTTTTGAAGGGGATTGGTCAAAGTGAATTTCAGTAAGAATGAGAAACAAATATGATCAATTTTAAACTTAGAGTTTCTAATTTTTTTTATAGTACTACTTAATGTAACTCACATCAACTTTTTATGCACTTTTTATAAACATATTTAAAGAAATGTAGATATGGGCGCCTGGGTGGCTCAGTCGGTTAAGCGTCTGCCTTTGGCTCAGGCCATGATCCCAGGGTCCTGGGATTGAGTCCCCCATCAGACTCCCTGCTCAGTGGGGAGTCTGCTTTTCCCTCTACCCCTCCCCACTGGTTGTGATCTGTCTCTCTCTCACGCTCTTTCTCAAATAAATAAAATCTTTAAAAAAACTCACAATTTTAAAAGAAGTGTAGATATGTATTCAGTTAATAGTGATATGCTAAGATTAATTCTGACCACTATTCCAGATTTTATTTGCCCCCAGCTGTAGGCTTAAGTATATTTTTTTAGTTTAGGGAGGATGTTCCCTGTATTCTCTTTCACTCTTAGCTCCATTCTATGGTCTGGGAGTTATAATGCCAGTATTACGGAAATAAGGAGCCAGATATGGTAGTAATCTTCCTGCAGGGCTCAGCTTGCTCTCAGAGGGCTTGCCTGCTCCTTGGTTCCTTTCTTATTCTCATCTGTGTCTCAGAAGAGTCATTCATACTTGTTTGCCTAACTTTGATACCTAACCATCATTTCTTTAAATGATTGTTTAGGCATCCACTTGTATATGATGTAGCTTGGGGCTGTGAAAAGAGTGGAAATTTGGAGTCAGAACCTTGTTCAGTTATTTGTTAGCCTCATGCCTTGGGCAGATGACTTTGGAGGATCATTCTACTCATCTACATAAAGAAATAGGAATAGTAACAATCAGCCTCATGCACTGTTATATTGAATGGGGTCAGGTATGTAGCACTGCCTGGCTGTTAGTTCCCTTCACTTCACTGAAACCAGATTACTAGACCCTCACCAGTGGTTTTCTCCTGTCTATCATTATTCCTCCTGTCTTTCTTTCTCCTTGTTCCTGGTAGCAGCATATTATATACTTTTAGCTTCTGTGATAAAATACTGTTTTAGTATTCCTTATCTTGGCCATGTAACTAAATATTATTTAAAGTTTACTTTTTTAGAGTTCTTTTTGTTTTCTTGGTTTTACCTCTTCCACCAAGTACCTAATTTCCTCTCAAGGTTTAAATGCTTTTCTGTGTGTGATGGTTATTACCTCCATTTTTAGATCCTAATATTTCTACTGAGGTAGACCTGAATGCTGTCTTGCATGAAATTTTCTTGTGAACATTCCCATCACCTCCAATGCAACTTGCCTATATCAAAAGAACTCAAACGTTTTTATGAAATCAGATTGACTTGTAGATTTTCTTAGTTCTTACAGAGAAGTTAACATGTCTTGGTTTCTTCGTCATCTTTGATTCTTCCTTTATTATTGATTAAAGACTGGGAGATAAACCAGTTTTGTTTTTTTCTTCCTGATTTCTCCCGTTTTCAATTAGTAGTGAAGATCTGCTGATCTCTTAAATAAATTCTTCTCATCTTTTTCATTCTACATCTTCTTTTTTTTCCCTTAAGATTTTATTTATTTGAGAGAGAGAACAAGAGAGAGAGAGCATGAGCAGGAGGGAGGGGAAGAGGGTGAGGCAGAAGCAGGCTCCCTGGTAGGGAGCCCAATGCAGGGTTCAATCCCAAGACCCTGAGATCGTGACCTGAGCCGAAGGCAGACACTTAACAGGCTGAGCCACCCAAAAGAAAATGCCATTTTCTTTTGCATTACCTACTCTAATGTCTGTATGTTTTGAAGCTTTGATGATAATGAAATTTTATTTATTTACTAAATTTTAATTCCAGTATAGTTAACATAGTGTTATATTATTTTCAGGTGTACAATATTCTGTACATTAACAGTTCTATACATTACTCAGTGCTCATCGTGATAAGTGTACTCTTAATCCTCTTCACCTATTTCACCCATCTCCTCCCCTCCCCCCGTAACCGTTTGTTCTTTATAGTTAAGAGTCTGGTTTTTTTTATTTGTCTCTTTTTTTCTTTGTTCATTTGTTTTGTTTCTTAAATTCCACATAAGTGAAATCACATGGTATTTGTCTTTCTCTGTCTTATTTCACATAGCATTATACCTTCTAGATCTGTTCGTGTTGTTGCAAATGGCCAGCTTTCATTCCTTTTTATGACCGAGTAATATTAATGAAATTGTATTGAAGCTGAGATTGGAATAGAAATTTTTTTTCTTCCTACATTTGAAAGCTCTAGAGAAAAACTATTAAATACACATATGTGCCTGGGGACACACACACAAAGTATCATATATGATACATGTTAATGAGCTGTACTTCAAAAAGGTCTCCTTTAGGAGTGGGATAATTGAAAACTTAGAACTTTGTGCTTTGTTTAGAGCAGGGTTTCTCTGTACTACTGTCTTTTTGGGTATGATAATTCTTTGTTGTGGGGGGCTTTTCTGTGCATTCTAGGATGCTGAGCAACATCCCTGGCTTCTACTCCCTAGATGGCAGTGGCCGCACACACACACACACACGCCCTCCCATGCCCAAAGTTATGACAGTGAAAAATGTCTCCAGACATTGCCAGATGTTTCTTGGTCAGGGAGAGATGGGTGGGGGCAAAATCTCCCACAACTGAGAACCACTGGTGTAGAGAAACCTAGACCAGAGCAGTAGAAGTAGAATATTTATTTTTACACCCTGCCAGCTTCCTAAGATTGTTCATTACTACACAATGAAAAAACATTGATAAAAGAGGATCGAACAAAATTTATCCTTATGTACATTTTTAGACTCTCCTGAGAGGGCATCCAAAAGAGGGAATAATATTTTTAGGAAAATAAACCTAAAAATGGTATATTGTTTTTATGTGAGAGTATGATGTGAATTTGGTGAAAAGTTATATATGTTTATGTACTGACATCACCAATATCGGTTTCTAATTTCTTTTCTAGTAAGGAGTTGCTGGGATCTGATGGAACTTTGAGAACTTCTTTTTCAGCATTTAATCTTTACTTCACTGTCAGTTTGTATTTCCCACTACTTTTGTTTAAAGAAATTTGAGGACTTATATTTTTTGGTAATTGATCATAGATCCAGTTCTTTGATGCTTTAATTTTTTTTCTAAATATTTGTGGATTTCTTGAAAATATTCCTGTTCTCTCTTTCCTTCTTTCCTCTTTCCTTTTTACAACATAACCTCTCCTTTATTTTTTTTTATTTTTTATTTTTTTAAAGATTTTATTTATTTATTTGAGAGAGAGAATGAGATAGAGTGAGCATGAGAGGGAGGGGGGAGGGTCAGAGGGAGAAGCAGACCCCCTGCCGAGCAGGGAGCCTGATGCGGGACTCGATCCCGGGACTCCAGGATCATGACCTGAGCCGAAGGCAGTCGCTTAACCAACTGAGCCACCCAGGCGCCCATAACCTGTCCTTTAAAAAAAAAAAATCCTTGAGCTTGTCAAGAGTAATACCAAAGTTCAAATTCTTCAGTGATCATACTATTATGTGGAACAAACTTCTAGGCTTCCTATCTGTAATATTCTATATAGGCAGACTTCCAGACCCTAAGAATAATTTGTAGAGCCTTCTTAGAATTGACCAAACAAGATATAACTTGTATATGAATTTAGGAGGGTTGAGAATATGAGCTTAAGGAACTGGTATAACTGCTTAGTACTCATTTTCATAAAAATGAGGTTTGTTTTTTTTTATCAGGTGAAGCCTAAAATTAATCCTATTTTCTTAATTTTTTATCTCTTTTTATAGGTAGGTTGTTCTAATATGGACATTAATCAGACTTTTTCATCCGTATTGCCTCCATTTATTCCTCATGAGCCAACCATAGAGTTGGAGTATCACTCTTCAGATCTCAGGATGTTGAGGGTATCTCCTGACACTGTGCAAAAGACTCTCAAACATATAGCAGGTATGTAGAAAAGGAGATATTAGGTGTTCTTATGACTAGCTTGTTAAAAATACCTTGCTATGGCTAACTAATTTTTTATTTTTGAACTCTTGCAATAATGTTAACTTTGGATTAGGTGTATTTATAAATCTCCAGATCTTTTATTAAGTGAATCATTTGATCTTTCATTGCCTTCTCTATGGCAATGTTTAGAACTGAATTATGTGGAGAATCTGATATTAGAGTCCGTTTATTATTTCTGTATTCCATTCTGTGATTTGAAGGGAAAAAAGAAATTAATGGAGCACAGAAGAAGAGTAGATCCAAATAAGTTTGTAGAGAGGAGACTGAGAGATCAGTTCTGAGGTAGAAAGCAAGATTATCTGCTAAGGGAGGTAGTGGTAAAGGAGGGTAGCTTGGTGCAGGCTCAGAATTATGTTAAAGTGAATAGAAGTTGCAGCTGACCAAGAACAAGCAAAAGAATTGGCAGGTAGTTCTGAGAAGTCAGCTGAGGTTGGAGATGATTTTGTAATGTTGTCAGCCTTAATAGAATCTCTGTTTTTTTCTCTACTAAATGCAGAAAATGAATTATAGGTTGATCCTTGGTTGAGGGATTTGTTGAGTGGATGGATGTGGTGGATGGAAAGCAGTGGAAGGGAATCAGAAAATATTAAATATTTAGATCTGTGAACATGGGTTGTTTTTCCTTTGAGAAATGTCATTTTATATTAAATACTTTGGTCTATAAATATGGGACATCTTTCCATTATTTAGGTTTTCTTTATTTCTTTCAACAATATTTTGTAGTTTTCAGTGTGTAAGTCTTGCACTCTTTTGTTAAATTAATTCTATTTTAATTTTTTTGTTGTTGAAAAAGAAATTGTTTTCTTAATTTCACTTTTGGAATATTCATTGCTAGTGTATGGAAATACAGTTGAATTTTGTTAGTTTTATAGCTGCAATCTTCTTGAACTACTTGTTTCTTATCTCTAACTTTTTTTGTGTGGATTTCTTATAATTTTTACATGCAAGACCATGTCATGTTCAAATGTAGTCTTCTTTCTTTCCAACATGGATGCCTTTTATGTATTTCAGTTCCCCAACTGCCCCGCCTAGAACCTTCAGTGCAATGTCGCATACAAGTGGCAAGAACAAACAGACATCCTTGGCTTGTCCTGGTCTTTGTAGAAAGATATGAAGTCTTTTATCATTAAGTATGATGTTAGCTGTGGGATTTTTGTAGACGATCTTTATCAGATTGAGGAAGTTCCCCTTTATCTGTAGTTTTTAGAGCATATTTATACATGTTATCATATAAGGGTGTTAGATTTTGTCAAATGTTTTTTCTGCCTCTTTTATGATGACCATATGGTTTTTGTCTTATATTCTAATAATATAGTGCATTATTAATTTTCATATAACCAACCTTGCAGTCTTAGTTATATATGCCATTTGGTTATGGCATACAATCCTTCTTGTATGTTGTTGGATTTGTTTTGTCAGTAATTTTTTGAGGACTTTTGTGTTTATATTCATAGTAGGTATTGGTGTGTAGATTTGTTGTGACTTTTGTTATTATTGGGTTTTGGTACAAAGATAATGCTAATGTTACAAGTTGAGGTAAGAAGCATTATCTCTTCTAGTTTTGCTGATGTCACTAGTTGAGATGAGAAGCATTATCTTCTAGTTCTTGGAAGAATTTGTAAAGGATTGGTATTAGTTTTTATTGGGTGAAACTCAACTGTAAAGCTGCCTGCCTCTTTGTAGAAGTTTTAAAATTACTAATTTCATCTCTCTACTTGCTATAAGTCTATTTATATTTTATATTTTTCATGAATCAGTTTTCATAATTTGTGTCCATTGTGGAATTCATCCATGCCAGCTAGGTTATCTAATTTGTTGGATATAGTTGTTCATGGTATTCCCATATAATCCTTTTTATTTTGGAAGATTGGTAGTAATACCTCTTCTTTCATTCCTGATTTTGGTAATTTGAGTTTTCTTTTTTTTTTTAAGATTATTTATTTATTTATTTATTTACTTGAGAGAGCAAGATTGAGCGAGAGAGCACGAGAGGGGGGAGGGTCAGAGGGAGAAGCAGACTCCCCACTGAGCAGGGAGCCCCCGTGGGACTCGACCCTGGGATTCCAAGATCATAACCTGAGCCGAAGGCAGTCGCTTAACCAACTGAGCCACCCAGGTGCCCCAATAATTTGAGTTTTCTATCTCTTTTTTTGGTAAGTCTAGCTAAATTTTGTCAATTATGTTCATCTTTTCAAGGAAAGAAACTTTGGTTTCTCTACTTTTTCTGATCTCTGTTTCTCTACTTTTAAATCTGTTTTATTCCCATTTTAGTCTTTATTTTTTCCTTCCTTTCACACTTCAGTTTTAGATTGTGCTTTTTACTCTTTCTTGAGATGAAAGAATAGGTTATTGATTTGAGACTTTTTTTTTTTAGGATTTTTCATCTATTTATTTGAGAGAGAGAGAGAGTGTGTGTGAGCATGAGCTGTGGGGAGGGGCAAAGGGAGAGAGAGAAGCAGAATCCCTGCTGAGCAGGGAGCCTGATGTGGGGCTTGATCCCAGGACCCTGAGACCTGAGCTGAAGGCAGATGCTTAACCAACTGAGTATCCAGGCACCCCGAGACTTTATTTTTGATATAGGTGTTTACATTGATAAATTTCCTATAAGCACTACTTTAATGGCATGCTCAGAGTTTTGGTTTGTTGTGTTTTTGTTTTAATTCATCTAAAATATTTTTAAGTTTCCATTGCAATTTGTTTTCATTGACCCTGTGGTTATTTGGGAATGTCTTGTTTAATTTCCACAGATTTTTTACTTTCCTTTTGTTATTAATATCTCATTTGATTCCATTTTTGTTGGAGAACACCTACTTTGTATGATTTTAATTCATTTAAATTTTATTGAGGGTTGCTCTTATGTCCTAGTGTATAGTTTATTCTGTAGAATGTATGGTTTACGTTTGAGAAGAATGTGCATTCTGCTATTGTTAGGTGGTGTGTTCTATATGTGTCTCTTAGTTCTAGTGGGTTTATAGTGTTCAAGTCTTCTGTATCCTTGTTGATCTTCTGCCTAGTTTTCTCTATTTTTGAAAGTAAGCTGGTGAAATCTTCAACTATTATTGTTTGTCTGTTTTATCATTTTACTGTCATATTTGCTTCATATCTTATTAAGTGCATTTATGTTTATAATTGTTATATATTCCTGATGGATTGACCTTTTTGTTATAAATGGTCTCCTTTTAATTCTAGTTATGTTTTTTGTTTTAAGGTCTATTTTCTCTTACATCAGTATAGTCACTTCAGTTCTTATGCTTGCTGCTTGTATGGCATATGTTTTTTATCCCTTTACTTTCAACCTATTTGTTTTTTTGAATCTAAAGTGTATCTCTTGTAAACAGCTTATAGTTGGATCTTGTGATTTGTTGTTTTTTTTTTAAATCCAAACTGACAGTCTTTACCTTTTGATGTGACTGTTTAATCAGTTCATGTTCAATGTCATTATTGATTAAGATTGGATATATATTTCCTGGGTTTACTTTTTGTTTTCCATGTTTCATGTTTTTTTGTTATGTTCCTCCTTCACTGCTTTTTATTGGACTTAATGAATATTTTCTAGTGTCACGTTTTAATTTCTTTAATTATTTTCTAGTTAATTTTTCCAGTTATATTCTAGTGGTTGCTCTAGGGCTTACAAAATTTATCTTATTTAGAATATATACCTGATTTATACTAACTTAATTACAGTGTGATACAGAGACATTACTCCTATATAGCTCTATTCTCTTTTGTGTGTGCTATTATTGCTATACATATTATACCTGTATGTGTTACAAACACACAAGAATATGTTGTTACATTATTATACTTATTTTTATAATTTTTGTATTTTTTAAGAAGTTGAGAGAAGTAAGGAGAGCAAGTATTTAGAGTTAATTATATTAATCTTCTCATTTACTATTTTTTAATTCTCTTTATTTGTTCCTGTGGATTTGTTACCATCCAGTGTCTTTTCCTTACTCCACTCCAGCTTTGCTCCCACTTGCCTCCTTTTGATGTTTATTATCAAATATGTTTCATTTCTACATTTTAGCCCCACTAATATAGTTAATACATATTGCTTTGTGTAAAATTGCTTTTATAATCAGTTAAGAGAAGAAAGGAAAAGAAATATGCAAATATGCTCTCTTTTTGTAATTACCTACATAATTATCTTTACTAGCACTGTTTGTTTTGTTTTATAAATTCAAATTACTGTCTGGTGTCACTTGCTTTCAACCTGAGTAGAATTCGTTTAGTATTTCTTGTATGATGGTTCTGCTACCAACAGATTCTCTTAGTTTTTATTTACCTGGAATGTTTTTATTTCATCCTTTTGAAAGATAGTTTTGTTGAGTTTAGAATGCTTGGTTGATAATCTTTTTGTTTTAGCACTCTGAATTTGTCTTCCCATATGGTATTCTGGCCTTTATTGTTTCTGATGAGAAGTCAACTATTGATCTTATTAGCATTCCCTTGTATGTGATTTGTTTTCTCCTGCTGCTTTCAGGATACTCAGTCTTTCAACATTTTGATTATGATGTATTTGTGTGGATCTCTGTGTTTATCCTACATTGAGTTCATTGAGCTTCTCAGATGTGTAGATTATCTTTCCATTTATTTGAGTCTTTTTCCACTTCTTTCATCTATGTCTTGTATTTTGCAATGTACAGATCTTTCACCCCTTTGGTTAAATTTATTCTTAGGTGTTTTTTTTTTTATGTAATTGTAAATGGGATTGTGTTCTTGACTTCTCTAATAGTTCTTTATTAGTGTATAAAAACATAACTGATCTTTTTATGTTAATTTTGTATCCTGCAACTTTACTTGAATTTATTAGTTCTAACAGTTTTTTGGTGGAGTCTTTAGGAGTCTCCATGTGTAATACCATGTCATCTATAAATAGAGACAGTTTTACTTCTTCCTTGCCTATTTGGATGCCTCCCCCCTCCCCTTTTTTTCTTGCCTAATTGCTCTGGCTAGGATTACCAATACTATGTTGAATAAAAGTGGTGAGAATGGGAACCCTTATCTTCTTCTTGATCTTAGAGGAAAAGCTTTCAGCTTTTCACTGTTGAGTGTGATGTTAGCTATGGGCTTTTATATATGGCCTTTGTAATGTTGGGGTATGTTCCTTTGACATCCCCTTTATTGAGAGTTTTTATCATGAATGGATGTTGAGTTTTGTTAGTTGCTTTTTCTGAATCCATTGAACGATCACATGATTCTTATCCTTAATTTTGTTAATATTGGTGTATCATATTGATTGATTTGCAGATATTGAGCCATCCTTGCATTCCTGGAATAAAGCCCACTTAATCATGTTATATGATTCTTTTAATGTATTGTTGAATTCAGTCTGCTAATATTTTGTTGAGGATTTTTACATCTATGTTCATTAGGGGGATTGGCTTATAATTTTACTTTTTTGTAATTTCCTTGTCTGGTTTTGGTATCAGAGTATGCTGGATTTATAAAATGAGTTTAGAAGTGTTCCCTTTTATTTTTTGGAAGAATTTGAGATATTTTGGTATTAATTATTTGAATGTTCAGTAGACTTCACCAGTGAAGCCATCTGGTTTTGGAGTTTCATTTGTTGGGACACTTTTGGTTACTGATTCAATCTCCTTACTAGTAATTGGTCTGTTCACATTTCTACTTCTTCATGATTCAGTCTTGGTAGGTTATATGTTTCTTCTAGGTTGTCAAACTTGTTGATGTAACATTATTTTTAGAAAGTCTTTTATGATCTTTTATAGTTCTGTGATACCAGTTGTCATATTTCCTTTTCCATTTTTGTATTTTATTATTTGAGTCCTCTCTGGGTTTTTTTGGGTGGGGGTGGTAGTGATTTTAGCTAAAGATTTGTCAATTTGTTTATCTTTTAAAAGAACCAGATCTTTGGTTCATTGATTTTTTTTTTTTTTCTATTGTCTTTTTAGTCTCTACTACATTTATTTTTGCTCTGGTTTATGTTTTCTTCCTTCTACTGGCTTTGGGCTTTGTTTGTTCTTTTTCTGGTTCTTTAAGATGTAAAGTTAGGTTGTTTATTTGAGATATTTCTTGATGGTAGGCATTTATCACTGAACTTCCCTCTTAGAACTGCTGTTACTGTACCCCATAAGTTTTGGTATATTGTATTTCCATTTTCATTTATTTCAAGGTATTTTTTGATTTCTCTTTTGATTTCCTCTGTGAGCCATTGGTTGTTCACTCTGTTAATGTGTTTTGCTTTATTAATTTCTTGAGTCTTTTTCTCTCATAAAACTTTCCATAACTTCTATTTCTTTTCAGGTTACTATGCAGATTACATTCATCCCTTCTCCTTTAGTTTTCCTGAAGAGTTAGTACTTGGTAATGTACTTCCTTACCTTATACTTCACTCCTGAACTCATTTAATTCTATATTTAGTTGCTTTTTTGAAGCTCACTATTGGGTTTAGAATAGCAGTCACTAATAATTTAGTGAAAAGAGTTCAGAATTTGGAGTTAGAATTCAAAGGTTAAAGTACCTCTTTTTGTCATTTACTGTAGAATTCTGGAGAAGTTACATTTCTTAACCAACTGAGCCACCCAGGCGCCCCAGAAGTTACATTTCTTTATCAATCAAAATACGGTCTGAGCGGGGCACCTGGGTGGCTCAGTCATTAAGCATCTGCCTTCAGCTCAGGTCATGATCCCAGGGTCCTGGGATTGAGCCCCGCATTGGGCTCCCTGTTCTTTGGGAAGCCTGCTTCTCCCTCTCCCACTCCCCCTGCTTGTGTTCCCTCTCTCACTGTGTCTCTCTCTGTCAAATAAATAAATAAATAAATAAAATCTTAAAAAAAAAAATGTGGTCTGAGGGCCAAAAGTATGGGACATTATTTGTGATTTTGTTAGAAATGCAAAATTTCAGATCCTACCCCTAGACCTATTGAATCAGAATCTTCAAGTTAATAAGATCTCCATATTGAGAAGCAATATTATATCTTCCATCTTTGAAACTTAATTTCTTTATATGTAAAGTGCAGACGGTTCCCCACTTAGGATGCTTTGACTTAGGATTTTCATCTTTATGATATGCATTCAGTAGAAACCATACTGCAAATATGAAGTTTGCTATTTTTTTAGGCTAGCCATATGTGGTATGATATTCTTTTGTGATGTTGGGCAGCAGCAGTGAGCCACAGCTCCCAGTCAACCACATGATTATAAGGGTAAAAACCTGATACAGTTACAGCCATTCTCTACCCATACAACCATTCTGTTTTTCACTTTTAGTACAGTGTTCAATAACAAGATATTCAACACTTTATTATAAAATAGTTTTTGTGTTAGGGAATTTTGCCCAATTTTTGGTCAGTGTAAATGTTCTAAGCATGTTTAAGTTAGACTAAGCTAAGCTGTGATGTTTGGTATGTTAGATTATTCTATGTATTTTTGACTTACTATGTTTTCATCTTTTGATGGGCTTATCGGGTTGTAACCCAATTGTAAGTTGAGGAAGATCTGTATAGATAGTACTTGTTGTATATATCAACCATCTTGCCATCATCTAACAACCCATATGTTTTACAATTTATTTTTTGTCTGCTTCCTACTATCAGAGTGTAAGCTTTGTAAGGCAGAATTAGAGTGTAAACTTTGTTTATTGCCCTATTTCCTATATCTAGAACTGTGACTAGCACATAGTAAACATTAATTTTTTTAAAATTTAATTTAATTTATTTATTTGCCAGAGAGAGAGGGAGAGCACAAGCAGAGAGAGCTGCAGGCAGAGGGAGAAGCAGGCTCCCCACTGGGTGAGGAGCCCAATGCGGGACTAGATTCCAGGACCCTGGGATCATGACCTGATCTGAAGGCAGATGCTTAACTGACTGAGCCACTCAGGCATCCCACCTTATTTTCTTTTTGAATGAACAAATGAATGAATGCATATCTTGTCAAATCTTGTCATTTCTATTGCAGTCATTTACTTCCCACTGCCATTTAGAATTAGAAGTACTGGATTAGACAGTACAAATACAGAAATTTCTGTTGTTGCAGAAAGTTCTGTTAGATAGTACTACTTACACTTTTGCATTCTGGTCCCACTCATCTTGAATCTATATTTCTGCAGTATAGTTCTGATCAAATTTATCAACAACTCCCCATGCCATTTAGAATTAAGTTCAAAATCCTTAGTGTAATCTTCAGACACTTTATAGTTTCATATAGTTAAAAAATATGTTTCTCAGGGTGCATTTATTAGAAGAATCATTTAAACCCACTGCATGCATAGCATCCATCTGGGCCATATTGCATTGCCCTCGTGGGACTTGAGGGATAGGGGAACCCATGAAAATAAGTTGAAGATCCTTTGCTGTGCCATGGAATAAAGTATTTTGTCTCTGATTGAGGAGTCACATGTCTTTTAATGGCATACAGGACACAGTAACAGGCTAACTTATTAGGTTATAGCTAGGTCTGAAAATAAAGCCCAGACAGGATAGCATTTTCCCATCATGTTAAAAATTCTTTAAAAATCCAAATTTTAATAATGACCCACATAATATATCAAATGGATATGCTGCTATTTTTAAACATTACTCTATTGTTGAATATTTAAATTATGTCTGCATTAGTTTGCTGTTGTAAATGGCTTTGTAATTAATATCTTTGTAAATATTTGTCTCCTTTGATGACTATCAAACTATTCCCTTAGGATTCCTTACTAGAAGTGTAAAGGTCAAAGGAAGGAAAGCTTGCTTTATTTCTTTTATGCGTAAAAGAAGTATTTCTTAATTAAAAAATATATAATAATATTAATATTAATAAATCTCTTTTTCTAGGAGGTACTTCTAAAGGAGGCGTAGCTGAAGTTACTCAATCCAGCTTGAAACCAGGCATCACTGCTACTCCTGGAGATTCAGATACCAGATCTCATTTATTCTTGTTCCCTGAGGACTTTCCTCAGTTGGATTTAAGGTCTCCTCAAGAGAATACTGTTGGTCAACATACTGATACCCACAACCAAGAGGCATCGGTAGATAGTGATATAAGTGAAGAGACTCTAAAAGTTTCATCTGTTGGTGAGCGAGCTGACCAGAAGACTGGGATATCAACAGTACCCTCTAGTTTCTACTCACAAAGAGGGAAGCCCAGTATTTTCTACCCACAGGCCTTGCCAGACAGTCATCTAGCTGAAGAGGCTCTAAAAGTTTCAGCTGTTCTTGGTCCTACTGTCCAGAAGAGTGGCATACCTACAGTCTTTCCAAGTTCCTACTTCCGTGGAGAGAACCATAATATCTTCTACCAACAGGCCCTGCCAGACAGTCATCTAACTGAAGAGGCTCTAAAAGTTTTGGCTATTCCTGGTCCTGCTGACCAGAAGACTAGCATACCTATAGTCCTTCCAAGCTCCTACTCACATGGAGAGAAGCGTAATACCTTCTACCAACAGGCCTTGCCAGGCAGTCATCTAACTGAAGAGACTCTAAAATATTCAGCTGTTCCTGGTTCTGCTGACCAGAAGACTAGCATACCTACAGTCCTTCCAAGTTCCTACTCACATGGAGAGACGCATGTTACTTTCCATCCTCAGGCCTTGCCACACAGTCATCTAACTGAAGAGGCTCTAAAAGTTTCAGGTGTTCCTCATCCTACTGACCAGAAGACTAGCATACATACAGTCCCTCCAAGTTCCTACTCATGTGGAGAGAAGCATAATATCTTCTACCCACAGGCCTTGCCAGACAGTCATCTAACTGAAGAGGCTCTAAAAGTTTCAGCTGTTCCTGGACCTGCTGACCAAAAGACTAGCATACCTACAGTCCTTCCAAGTTCCTACTCACGTGGAGAGAAACATAATATCTTCTACCCACAGGCCTTGCCAGACAGTCATCTAACTGAAGAAACTCTGAAGATTTCAGCTGTTCCTGGACCTGCTGACCAAAAGACTAGCATACCTACAGTCCTTCCAAGTTCCTACTCACGTGGAGAGAAACATAATATCTTCTACCCACAGGCCTTGCCAGACAGTCATCTAACTGAAGAAACTCTGAAGATTTCAGCTGTTCCTGGACCTGCTGACCAAAAGACTAGCATACCTACAGTCCTTCCAAGTTCCTACTCACGTGGAGAGAAGCATAATATCTTCTACCCACAGGCCTTGCCAGACAGTCATCTAACTGAAGAAACTCTGAAGATTTCAGCTGTTCCTGTATCTACTGACCAGAGGACTGAGAAAACAATAGTACCTTCTACTTCATATTCACGAAGAGAGAAGCACATTATTTTCTCCCAGCAGCAGTTGTCAGATGGTCATCTAACTAAACAGGTTCTGAAAGTTTCATTTGTTCCTGGACCAGCTGATCAAAACACTGGGATACCTACATTATCTTCACATTCCTACTCACTTGGAGAAAAGCCTGGTATCTTTTACCAACAGGTCTTGCCAGATAGTCATTTAATTGAACAGACTCAGAAAGTTGCAGCTCTTCCTGGACCAGCTGATCAGAAGAGTAGGATACCTGCAGTATCCTCTACTTCTTACTCACATAGAGAGAGGCCCCATATTTTCTATCAACAGACATTGCCAGAAAGTCATCTAACTGAACAGGCTCTAAAATTTTCTGCTCCTGAATCCACTGAGCAGAAGACTGGGATACCAACGGTAACCTCTACTTCCTCCTCACATAGAGAGAAGTCCAGTATTTTCTACGAAGAGGAGTTGCTGGATAGTCATCTAACTGAACAGGCTCAGAAAGTTCCAGCTGTTCCTGGACCAGCTGACCAGGATACTGGGATACCAATAGTGCCCTCTAGGCCCTACTCTCGTGGAGAGAAGCCCAGTATTTTCTGTCAGCAGGTCTCACCAGACAGTCATCTATCTGAAGAGACTCTGATTTCAGTTGCTTCTGGACCAGCTGAAAAAAAGAGTGGGTTACTATCAGAAGCTTCTAATTTCTGCTCACGTAGAGAGAAGCACAATATTTTCTACCAAGAGGAGTTGCAAGACAGTTCTCTAACTGAACAGGCTCAGAAAGTTTCACCTGTTCCTGAACCTACTGACCAGAAGACCAAAATATCAACAGTAACTTCTACTTCTTACTCAGATACAGAAAAGCCCTTTATTTTCTACCCACAGGGCTTGCCAGACAGACATCTACCTGAAGACGCTCTAAAAGTTACAGCTGTTTCTGAACCAGCTGACCAGAAGACTGGAATACCAGTAGTTCCCTCTACTTCCTCCTCACATAGAGAGAAACCCATTATTTTCTACCCACAGGACTTGACAGACACTCATGTCACTGAAGAGGCTCTGAAGGCTTCAGCCATATCTGGATCAGCTGACTGGAAGACTGGAATATCAACAGTATCCTCTACTTCCTACTCACCTAGAGAGAAGCCCATTATTTTTTCCCCTCAGGCCTTGCCAGGCAGTCATTTACTTGAAGAGGTTCTGAAAGTTTCAGCTGACCAGAAGACTGGGTTGCTATCAGAACCTTCTAGTTCCTACTCACATAGAGAGAAGCCCATTACTTTCTACCCAGAGGGTTTGACAGACGGCCAGTTACCTCAGGAGGCTCTGAAAATTCCAGCTGTTTCTGGACCAACTGACCAGAAGACTGAGTTGCCACCAGAACCTTCTAGTTCCTACTCACCTAGAGAGAAGCCCATTATTTTTCCCCCTCAGGCCTTGCCAGGTAATCATTTACTTGAAGAAGCTCTGAAAATTTCAGCTATTCCTGGATCAGCTGACCAGAAGACTGGGTTGCCATCAGAACCTTCTAGTTCCTACTCACATAGAGAGAAGCCCATTATTTTCAACCCAGAGGATTTGACAGACGGCCAGGTACCTCAGGAGGCTCTGAAAGTTTCAACTGTTTCTGGACTAACTGACCAGAAGACTGAGTTGCCACCAGAACCTTCTAGTTCCTACTCACCTAGAGAGAAGCCCATTATTTTTCCCCCTCAGGCCTTGCCAGGTAATCATTTACTTGAAGAAGCTCTGAAAATTTCAGCTATTCCTGGATCAGCTGACCAGAAGACTGGGTTGCCATCAGAACCTTCTAGTTCCTACTCATATAGAGAGAAGCCCGTTATATTCTACCCAGAGGGTTTGACAGATGGCCAGGTACCTCAGGAGTCTCTGAAAGTTTCAGTGATTCCTGGACCAACTGACCAGAAGATTGGGTTGCCATCAGAACCTTCTAGTTCCTACTCATATAGGGAGAAGCCCATTGTTTTCTACCCAGAGGGCTTGACAGACAGCCAGGTACCTCAGGAGGCTCTGAAAGTTTCAGCTATTCCTGGACCAACTGACCAGAAGACTGGGTTGCCATCAGAACCTTCCAGTTCTTACTCATATAGGGAGAAACCCATTACTTTCTACCCTCAGGGCTTGACAGACAGTCAGATATCTCAGGAGGCTCTGAAAGTTTCAGCGATTCCTGGACCAGCTGACCAGAAGACTGGGTTGCCATCAGAACCTTCTAGTTCCTACTCACATAGAGAGAAGCCCATTATTTTCTACCCACAGGGCTTGACAGACGGCCAGGTGCCTCAGGAGGCTCTGAAAGTTTCAGCTGTTCCTGGACCAGCTGACCAGAAGACTGGATTGCCATCAGAACTTTCCAGTTCCCACTCATATAGAGAGAAGCCCATTATTTTCTATTCACAGGGCTTGACAGACAGTCGGGTGCCTCAGGAGGCTCTGAAAGTTTCAGCTATTCCTGGACCAGCTGACCAAAAGACTGGGTTGCCATCAGAACCTTCTAGTTCCTACTCCTATAGGGAGAAGCCCCTTATTTTCTACCCTCAGGGTTTAACGGACAGTCAGGTACCTCAGGAGGCTCTGAAAGTTTCAGCTCTTCCTGGACCAGCTGCCCAGAAGACTGGATTGCCGTTAGAACCTTCCAGTTCTTACTCATATAGAGAGAAGCCCATTATTTTCTACTCACAGGGCTTGACAGACAGTCGGGTGCCTCAGGAGGCTCTGAAAGTTTCAGCTATTCCTGGACCAGCTGACCAGAAGACTGGGTTGCCATCAGAACCTAGTTCCTACTCACCTAGAGAGAAGCCCATCATTTTCTACCCACAGGGCTTGACAGATGACCACGTACCTCAGGAGGCTCTGAAAGTTTCAGCTATTCCTGGACCAATTGACCAGAAGATTGGGTTGCCATCAGAACCTTCTAGTTCTTACTCACACAGAGAGAAGTCTAACATTTTTTACCAACAGGAGTTATCAGGCAGTCATCTAACTGAAGAGACTCTGAAAGTTTCAGCTGTTTCTACAACAGGTGATCAGAAGACTGGGATACCTTCAAGTTCCTACTCACTTGGAGGGAAGCCCATTATTTTCTGTCAGCAGGCCTTATCAGATAAGCATCTCACTGAAGAGTCTCTGAATGTTTCAGCTTCTCCTGAACCAGCTGACCAGGAGACTGGGATACCAACAGTACCTTCTGTTTCTTACTCTCATAGAGAGAGGCCCAGTATTTTGTACCAACAGCCCTTGTCAGACAACCAGCTCCCTATAGAAGCTCTGAAAATTTCAGCTGTTTCTGGGCCAGGTGATCAGAAGACCAGAAAACCAACAATTACCTCAGCTTCTTACTCACATAGAGAGAAGCCCATCATTTATCAGCAAGAGTTGCCAGATCTTACTCAAGCAGCTTTAAGTGTTTTCAGGGTTCCTGGACTAGGTGACCAGAAGACTGGAATACCAGTAGTAACCTCTACTCCTTACTCACATAGAGAGAAGCCCATCATTTCTTACCAGCAGGAGTTGCCAGAGCATAATGAAGGTGCTTTAAAAGTTTTAGGGGCTCCTGGGTCAGCTGACCAGAAGACTGGGATACAATTTGGGTCCTCTGCTTCCTATTCACATAGAGAGAGCCCCATCTTTTCTTATCAGAGGGAGTTGCCAGATATTACTGAAGAAACTCTGAAAGTTTCAGCTGTTTCTGGACCAGCTGACCAGAAGACTGGGATACATATAATTCCCTCTAGTTCCTACTCATACAGAGAGAAGGACAGTATTTTTTACCAGCAGGAGTTGCCAGATGTTACTGAAGGAGCTTTAAAAATTTTTGCTCTTCCTGGACCTGCTGATCAGAAGACTGAGATACCAACAGGATCTTCTAGCTCTTACTCACATAAAGAGAAACTCAAGACTTCACCTGTAATTTTACCAGATGACCAGAAGACTGAGTTACTAACAACTCCCCTTAGTTCCTACTCACAAAGAGAAAAGCCCAAAATTTCAACTGTGATTGGACCAGATAACCAGACGACTTCGTTACTGACAGTTCTTCATAACTCCTATTCTCAGAGAGTGAAGCCCTTTCAACAGGAGCTGCCAGATAGACATCATAGTGAGGATATTTTGAAAATTTCACCTGTCTCTGAACCAACTGATGTGAACTCTGGGATACCGATACCTCTTTCTAGTTCCTATTCCCACAGAGAGAAATCTAATATTTTCTACCCACAGGAATTGCCAGACAAACATCTAGCTGAAGATGCACTGAAGGTTTCAACAATTCCTATACCAGCTGACCAGAAAAGTCTGTTACCAACAGTTCCTCCTAGTTCCTTTTCACACAGAGAGAAACCAAATATATTCTATCAACAGAATTTTCCAGATAGACATAAAACGCAAGATGCTCTGATGTTCTCAAGGGGTGTTGGGCAAGTTGATCAGATTACTGGGTTATCAACAGTTACCCCTGGTACTTATTCACATAGGGAGAAGCAGAAACTTGTTTCAGACCATGTTCAAATGCTAATAGATAATTTGGATTCTTCTAACTCCAGTGTTATCTCAAACAGTGTACCTTTAAGTTCTCAGGCTGATGGTAGAGTTGTAATAAGTAAGCCAGAATCTTCAGGTTTTGAAGATGTTGGGTCTGAGGAAAATCAAGATACAAGCAGTGGTTCCAAAACTCTTAAAGAGATTCGGACCCTTTTAATGGAGGCAGAAAATATAGCACTGAAACGATGCAATTTTCCTGCTCCCCTGGTCCCTTTCAGAGATGTTAGTGATATTTCATTTATACAATCTAAGAAGGTGGTTTGCTTCAAAGAACCCCTCACAGCTGATGAATCTAATGGTGATTTGCCCCAAAGACAGCCATTTACAGAGGAAAGCCCAAGCGACAGGTGCATACAGAAGGATATTAGCACACAGACAAATCTGAAATGCCAGAGAGGCATTGAGAATTGGGAGTTTATTAGTTCAACTACAGTTAGAAGTCCTCTACAGGAAGCAGAAAGCAAAGCCAGAGTGACAGTAGACGAAACCCTTCGGCAATATAGAGCAGACAAATCTGTAATGAGACCTGAACCTGAAGGGTATAGTGGAACCATTGGGAATAAAATTGTTATACCTATGATGACTATCATTAAAAGTGATTCAAGTAGTGATGCCAGTTCCTGCTCATGGGACAGTAATTCATTGGAGTCAGTTTCTGATGTTCTTCTAAACTTCATTCCATATGCTTCACCCAAGACAAGCTTGACAGATAGTAGAGAAGAAGAAGGTGTGTTGGAGAGTGATGATGCTGGTGGTAGCAGTGTAGATTCACTGGCCACACATGTCAGAAACCTTCTGAAATGTGAATCCTCACTGAATCATGCTAAACAAATACTCAGAAATGCAGAGGAAGAGGAATGTCGAGTACGAGCACGAGGTAGGAACTGATAATTTGTTATAAAGGTAGGTCAAGCTTATAAACATTATACTTTAATAATTTGTTTAAAGGTAAGTGTTTGTGGAGTCTAAATTTATTTTCTTGTAGGGTTGTTAGAATGATTACATTTTCCACCATAATCCAGAGTAGGTCCATTTAACCAATAATGTAACTAAGTCACAGTATTAATAGTGCTAGTTTAAGTTTAGGGTCTTAGGTAGGTTCTAAAGCCTGAAGGAGAATAAGGAGATAGCTTGGGTTTTCAGATTCCTAAAGTTCTCCTGTTTCCTTAATCCTCCTAGGATAGTATTCTATTTTGGAGGCAGAAAAAAAAATGAAAACAATTTGCTCTGCTCTAAATCACACTGTATCATAAAACTATATATACATTTTCTGTTTTCTAATAAAATTCTTAGAGCATATTTTAGACATTAGAAAAAACAAGTATTTCACACTAAAACTTGGGTTAGAGCTTTGAAAGAGGATGTTTACTAATCCCATTAATCTCTAATAGTAGAATGCCATTAAAAAAGAAAAAAAATTTTTTAAGACAAAATGGGGAATATGTTAGAGAGCAACTTATAAACAATTCAGGCCTCCCTGATTTATGTTTTCCCGTGAGAAAACTTACCTTTTATCACTATGCATATTCTGATTCCAGAAAACTCCCAAGTTTTATTGATTATTATTAAATATCAGCTCTCCTGGAAGCGACAGTAACTGTAGCAGGAACTAATAGGGGAGGCAAAGGGACCATCCTGATTGGAAGGAAATTAAGATAAAAATAATTGAAAATCGGGGCACCTGGGTGGCTCAGTCGGTTAAGCTGCTGCCTTTGGCTCGGGTCATGATCCCTGGGTCCTGGGATCGAGTCCCACATCGGGCTCCCTGCTCAGTGGGGAGCCTGCTTCTCCCTCTCCCTCTGCCTGCTGCTCTTCCTACTTCTGCTCTCACTGTCAAATAAATAAATAAAAATCTTTAAAAAAAAATGGAAAATCATAGTTAAAGTGGCCTTTTTGGAGAAATATCTGTAGAATGTAGTTTTTAAAAATCACACTTTTCAGTGAAATGATTGCTCTTAAGAACTTATAATAGCTTGTCATATAATTGAGAACACATATTTTTTGCTAAGTATTGTGGTAGCATTTAGCTGGATATATTGATGGTTTTCTGTGCTCTTATAATCACTGAAAATTATCATTTTTGCATTGCATTTCCTCAAGTGTTATATGTTTTCTTTTCAGCCTGGAATCTGAAATTTAATCTGGCTCATGAATGTGGCTACTCCATTTCAGAATTAAATGAAGATGACAGGAGAAAAGTAGAAGAGATCAAAGCAAAGTTGTTTGGTCATGAGAGAACAGGTGACTTGTCCAAGGTATGAAAGAAATCTAGAAATGAAGAGAGAAAATGTGAAAGAAAGGGCCGTAGAGTTTGTATCTCTTTACTTGGGCATTGATGACATGAGCTGAGTCATTGATAGTCTTCGGATAAAGCGTTAAGAGTCTTAGTTCTTCAAAGTTAATATTTAAGGACTAGATTCAGTAGGTGTTAATTAATTCCAAACTCATCTTTTGAAAAAAATTCTCCTTAGGAAAATAAGAATAGATTTGCTTTGTCATTTGACTTCGTATCCTGACATGTATTGATTTTCTCTTGTTGTTCAGTATAGTTTCGAATTCTTTAATAGATGGAATCAACATGGTATATATTCTGAGAATTACACTTTTCACACAGAGTTGGGTTTTTGAGATTCTTCTGTGTAGATGTATATAGTTTTAGTTTATTCATTTTTAGTACTGTAAGTATTCTAGTGTGAGAATATATGATAGTTTGTCCATTCTCTTGTGGATAGGGCATTTGGTCTGCTTTCATGAATGGTAATAGGGTATGGTAATACCTATCTTACAGGGTTTTGGTATGGGTTATATGAGATGATGCTTAGTGGAATGTGTGATATCTCGTTCTCAATAATTGGCAATTATCATTATTATTAATACTATAAAAATTGATAATGCATAGACTTTTTGGCCTAATTCATAGTTTTTTAGAAAATTTTTTGTCAGTGATACAGCATAATTATTTGGCTTATCTCTTTTTTGGAAAAGTTTTTTAAAAGTATAAATTAGATTGGATTTTAGCTTTATGTATATGTTTGAGATCATCATCACCATCCCATTTCCAGAAACTCTTTTCATCTTGCAAGAGTGAAACTTTGTACTTCTTAAACAGTTTCTCTCCATTCCACCCTCCCGTCAGCCCCTAGCAAGCACCATTCTGTCTTTATGATTTTTTTTTTTTTAGATTTTATTTATTTGACAGAGAGGGCAAGCACAAGTAGGGGGAGCAGCAGAGGGAGAGGGAGAAGTAGGCTCCCCACCAAGCAGGGAGCCTGATGCGGGGTTTGATCCCAGACCCTGGGATCATGACCTGAGCTGAAGGCAGATGCTTAACTGACTGAGCCACCCAGGCACCCCTATGATTTTTTTTTTTAAGATTTTTAAAAAATGTATTTATTTGAGAGAGAGTACAAGAGAGAGAGCACGAGTCAGGTGAGGGGCAGAGGGAGAAGCAGACTCCCTGCTGAACAGGGAGCCCAACTTGGGGCTCTATCCTGGGACTCCGGAACCATGACCTGAGCTGAAGGCAGACACTTAACAGACTGAGCCACCCAGGCGCCTTGTCTTTATGATTTTCATTAAGTACCTCATATAAGTAGAATCATACAGTATTTGGTTTTTGTGATAAGTTTATGTCATTTAGCATAATGTCTTCAAGGGTCATCCATGTTCTACCTTATGTCAGAATTTCCTTAAAGTGAGTCTCTTAGAGATAGTATGTAGTTGAATAATGGTGTTTTCACCATTCTGCCATCCCTGATGTTTTGATTGAGTTTGATCCATTTGTATTTAAAGCAATTACTGATAAGGTGCAACCTACTTCTGTTATTTTGCTATTTGTTTTCTATGTCAAGGAACTGATTTTTATGTTCAGGTACAACTCCAAACCATAAGATTATTTGCCTTACTTCCCTTTAGCCCACAGAAGTGCAGAGGACAAAATTTTGTAGGCTCCTAAAGACACCCTCTTACATTGCTTGTTGGCATTAACTACTCAGATCATTTTGACTCCCCCCAAACTATAACAAAATTCACTTTGTATGTACGGATTTACTGTCTTTGCTTAGCAGGATACTCTCTCCTCTCTTTTCCCTTTTTTGTTTGGTAACCTCTGAAAACAGGAAAAGTTTGAAGTCAGTAATTTATATCATTATGGTATATGGACCAATATCTCTTAAGTTTATAAAGAAAACCATAAAACAAACTTAAGAGTAAAAATAAAACAAGCCAAACTAAGAAAGTAGTAAGAAAGAAATTATAAAATCAAATGGATCAATTAATGCACTAGAAAACAGAAAAATAAGAGAATTGAACATTAACACTTAGAGTTGAATCTTGGAAATATTCCACATCAATAGGTGATCTCTAACTAGAAGATTACAAGAAAATAATTCGATGTTATAAATTAAAAGGAGTATGCTAAGCATACCATTGAGAAATTTTGAAATTATAAGAGAATATAATATATACCTGTTTTTTTATTAGGTTTAAAATTTTCATGAATTGGCTGATTTTCTAAGAAAATGTCAATAAATCTTAAATAGATTAGACATGAACAGGATAGAAAATCCTTGTCTCTCAGAGATTTATCTTCCAAGAAAAGTAGCTGACTTGTTATGAAATGTTATAGAGTATTTCCTGGGTTTGATACTGGTAGTGTGGTTATATGACAGGTGAATGTCCCTATTCTTAGCAGATGCAGTGGTGAACTATTTAGGATTGAAGTGTCATATACCTGTGTTTGTATAGAGAGATAAAACTGATAGGGGAAAATGTTCAATTGTTGAATCATGGCAGAAGGAATTCCAGTGTTTATTTTAACATCGTATCAACTTTTTTAAAAAAGACTTTATATTTTAGAACTGTTTAAAGTTCACAACTAGGGGCACCTGGGTGGCTCAGTCGTTAAGCGTCTGCCTTCGGCTCAGGTCATGATCCCAGAGTCCTGGGATCGAGCCCCACATCAGGCTCCCTGCTCACAGGAAGCTTGCTTCTCCCTCTCCCACTCGCCCTGCTTGTGTTCCCTCTCTCGCTGTGTCTCTCTCTGTCAAATAAATAAATAAAATCTTTAAAAAAATAAAAATAAAAATAAAGTTCACAACTAGGGGCGCCTGGGTGGCTCAATCAGTTAAGTGTCTGCCTTCGGCTCAGGTCATGATCCCGGAGTCCTAGGATTGAGCCCCACATTGGGCTCCCTGCTCGGCGGGGAGCCTGCTTCTCCCTCTGCCTCTGCCTGCCTCTTCCCCTGCTTGTGCTCTCTCTCTCTCTCTCTCTGTGTCAAATAAAGAAATAAAATCTTTAAAAAAAAAATAAAGTTCACAGCAGAATTGAGAGGAAGATACAGAGATTTCCCATAGACTCCCTGCCATGACACATGCATTTCCACTGCCATTATCAGCATCCCCTACCAGAGCAGTACGTTTGTTACAATTGATGAACCTACATTGACACATCATAATAACCCAAAGTCCATAGTTTACATTAGGGGTCGCTCCTGGTGTTATATATTTTATGGGTTTGGACAAATGTGTAATGACAGCTATCCATCACTGTATCATACAGAGTATTTTCACCACCCTAAAATTTAGTCTATTTAATTCTGCCTCCTTCCAACTTCCACTGCAACTGCTAATCTTTCTGCTGTCTCTATACTTTCAATGTGTCATATAGTTGGACTAAAACAGAATTTAGCATTTTCACATTGGCCTCTCTGGATTATTAATATGCGTTTAAGTTTCCTCCATGACTTTCCATGGCTTGATAGCTCATTTCTTTTTAATGTTGAATAATATTCCATTGTCTTGATGTGCCACACAGTTTATTTCATCTACTGAGGAGTATCTTGGTGGCTTCCAAGTTTTGGCAATTATGAATAAAGCTGCTATAAACATCCTTATGCAGTTTTTTTGTGTGTGGAAATCGGACATTTCAGCTCTTTTGGTTAATTATCAGGGAGTGTAAATGCTAGATTGTATGGTAAGAGTATGTTTAGTTTTGTAAGAAACCACCAAGCTGTTTATAACTTTGTATGTCAGCTATACTTCAATTAAAAAAAAAAAAAAGACCACACACACATACATTTAAATGGAGGAGAGAAAAAAAACCCACCACATTGTCTCATAAAGTGACTGTACTGGGACGCCTGGGTGGCTCAGTCATTAAGCGTCTGCCTTCAGCTCAGGTCATGGTCCCAGGGTCCTGGGATCGAGCCCTGCATCGGGCTCCCTGCTCAGTGGGAAGCTTGCTTCTCCCTCTCCCACTCCCCCTGCTTGTATTCCCTGTCTTGCTGTGTCTCTCTCTGTCAAATAAATAAATAAAATCTTTAAAAAAAAAAAACAAAACAACAACAAAAAAACAAAGTGGCTGTACCATTTTTTATTTCTACCAACAGTGATTCAGAGTTCCTGTTGCTCCACATCTTTGCTAGCATTTGGTATTGTCAGTGTTCTGGATTTTGGCCATTGTCATAGGTGTGGAGTGAAGTCTTGTTGTTTTGTTTTACTTTTTAAATTTTTTTAATTTATAAATTTTATTTATTTATTTGAGAGAGAGAGAGTGCATAAGAGGGGGAGGGGCAGAGTGGGAGGGAGAAGAACAAAGAGACTTGTGCTGAGCGTGGAACCTGACGTGGGGCTTGATCTCATGACCCTGAGATCACACCAGAGCTGAAACCAAGAGTAGGATGCTCAACTGACTGAGTCACCCAGGTGCCTAGGAATTTCATTTTAATTTGCATTTCCCTGATGACATACGATGTGGAACATCCTTTCATATGCTTATTTTCCAGCTGTATATCTTCTTTGGTGAATTGTCTATTAATGTCTTTGGCACATTTCTAAATTAGGTTGATTTTTATTGATTCTTTAGAGTTCTTTGTATATCTTAGATAATAGTCCTTTATCAGATGTGTCTTTTGCAAATATTTTCTTCCAATCTGTGATTTGTCTTTTCATTCTTGACATTGTCTGTCACAGTACAGAAGTTTTTAATTATAATGAGTTCAACTTATCAATTACTTTTTCAAGGATTGTACCTTTGAGGTTATATCTAAAAAGTAATCATTGTATCCAAGGTCATTGAGGTTTTCTCCTTTGTTATATTCTAGGCTTTGCATTTTACATTTAGGTCTATGATCCATTTTGAGTTAATTTTTGTGAGGAGTTTTAAATCGGTGTCTAGATTCATTTTTTTGCATGTGGATGGTCAGTTCCAACACCGTTTGTGGAAGAGACTGTCTTTGCTCCATGCCTTTGTCCCT